AGCTGCAGTTCTTTCCACAGGTCGGTTTGCGGGCGGAACTCTAGCTATTATAAGGGTTCGGATGGACTCTTCTGGAGCGTGTGCCATTTGTTGAGTTCCCTGTGGAAGCGGTCAATGTAAGACTGCAGGGATTCGTCTCTTTCTTGCCTTATGTTGCTGAGGTAGCTCAAAGGCATTGAAAATTTCCGGTTGGCTTGGAAATGCCGCAGGAACGTCGTGCTCATCTGAGGCCACGAACTGATCGATCCCGCTGGGAGCGACCTTAACTACCGTTTGGCGTGAGAAGTTAGTGTCACAGCCAAACAACGGCATTTCCGATGTCCGAAACCTGGTGGAGCTCCATCAGGTTGTTGAACTCATATAAATGATCCTACGAGTCATAGTTTCCATCAACGGTCGCATATCTGGCATTCTGAACCTGGTGGAAGTGGAGCAGCTCAACTTCAGGAGAAAATGGGGATGTTGAGGCGACCTGCGCCTGTTCGTTTTGCTGCTCCCTTAACCTGTCTAGAGCTCGCTGCAACTCCTCAATTCGTGGTAACGGAGCCAACCCAGGGTTGCTTTTCACCCATGCGAGCCCGGCCTTCCCGATTGCGGTTCAGGAGAGTTCGAAGGTCGGATCCCCCCTCGCCTCGGCCGATATTTCTAGCCGCGCTTGACACACGCTGACTAGAGGCGTGTGAAGGCGATGTGTTGTGCAGGGCATTTTCACGACCTCGCGGTGGTACAAACCGCCCCGGAGGTGTGAGGGCACCCGCATGGGAACGATGGATCGTTCTGCTGGTGGTGATCGAATCACGCGCCAGCATTTCGCTGGGTTTGCCTGCGACGTGGCATGGGACAGCTAGGGGTTTACTTTTTCACGAGTCTCAGCTTTGCCGACACCCTGCTCGGGTGCCTTTCGTATTCGCTGGCCCTTGGGAGCCGTAGGCTTATTTTTTGCCACTTGCTACCCTTGCGCTTACGCGCTGCAGTGCTCGCGGCAGGGCTATTGCCTTTGCGCGCTTTCGCGTGACCTGCAGGCGTTTTTGGCGGTTGTACCGCTCCGGCTGTCGTAGATGACATTCCCTGGTCCAAAGGTCCAACCTCTGGTGACCGTGGAGAGCATTGTCGAACTCTCCAGGTAGCTTCTGATAGCGGGGTCCAGTTGCGGAGCTAGGGGTATTCCCAGCGGCACTTTGCGAAACTGGAGGTTTGGAAAGGGTGCCCTCTGGGCCTGGGGGACTCCTTCAGCATGCTGGTTCACCTACCCAGGTTCAGATTGGCGGGCCATTGTAGCTGTGAGACCAGTAGGTCAAAGATTCTCCTGATGAAGGGTAGACACTAAATCAGCCTCCTTTAGCGCCAAACTGTTGATGCTCGTTTTTGGCACCAACCAAATTGTCACGTGCATAACGTTGATTGGCTGTTAAATACACGTGAAAGCGAAGTATAAAGCGAAATAAATGCAAAGGGAGTTTTTTAAGTGGTTCAGATGCTAAGGTAGCAAGTCCTACGTCCACTGATTTGTATTAATATTAGTGTGGGTCAGGTCGCGACAGCAGACTGAGTTACAAAAGAATTGGAAAGAGTAAAATGTGTTTACAGGAGAGAGAGAGATGTTTCTCTGTATGAAAATGGCCGAATCCCCTGAATGAAGGGGTCTTCTTCATTTTATATCAACTGAAGCGTGTAATCTCATTAAATCCATGGGTTGGTGTGATTGTCAGGAATAATCCGGCTTTACGTCCCATTTTCCTTTTCCCAAGCTGACTTCGCACGACTTATTGCAGGGAAATGGACACGTGTGAGCTCCATATATTTTGCAGGTCTGACGTGTGCGTGTTGCCCTGACGGAGAGGTCACCTCCCGTGACTTCCCACGTCAGCCCTTTATTTTCCAGGCGTAACAATTTCATTGCTAATATTATAGATTATCTTGAGTAAATACATGTTAGTTGGTTATTGTTTGTAGTCCAGTCTTTTTTGCACTTTCCTTTGATTTTTCTTTTTCATAAACACTTGATTAAAAACTGTTTTCAGAAAGCTGATCGTTTTGAAAAAGTTCTTCCAAAACATATGTACAATTTGTTCTCTCATAAAAGAAGACATTTTATTGTTCAATAAAAATTAAACAATTTCGGAAATTCATTTGTTAAATCAAACGTCATTCATTGACTCTATATTTTAGCCGACTACCTTTAGCTATTTGTAATATGGGAAAATTCAAAGAAACGAATTTCGTAGTGACCAAACAATCAAAAGAGAGTAAGTATGATTGGGCAAGAAGACCCTATTTTATTCCAGTCGTTGAAGAAAATCCTAAAATCTCTATCGTAGAATTTCTTCACTTGATATGGTTTATCATACATTATTGGAGTTTATTATCTTAACTTATGATTATAGTGAGCTATAATTATTTGATTCCTTTACTTAACTGTGAAATGTTAAGTAAACTATATCAACTTAAAGGTTTATAAGCCGTCTGATATTTATTATTATTTTAATGAGTTAAATTAATATTTATTTTACATTTATGCTCTTTTTAATGTATTATTTTAATAAGTATATATGTAGTTATCTACAGTATTAAATGAAATGATTAAGGATAAATAACTTGTAGATCTCAAACAAAATGTGTTGATGCTTGATTTTGGACGCCAACGACTTGCACGTGAGAAGCGCTAAGCGGACTTAGGAATCACACGTGATGGATCCATGAGATTTGAATATGAGCTGAGATTTATATTTTGTAGAAAAATAAGTAAGATTGGCAAGAGGGGTTTTTATAGTGGTTCGGATGCAACAAGCGACTCCTATCCACTGTTATTTTATTTGATCTCTCACTATTTCTATGAATTTGCCCGTAAGGCATACAAAGATGAAGAAAATACAGTATTTTTACAGAGAAAGAATTGAAGCTAAATTCAGCCCAGCCACCAGCCTCTCTTCTTCGGGAAGAGAAAAATCCATTTATTTCACAAAACACTCCAATGCAAGAGTGTTTTGCAAGCTTCTTGACACCATGGAAGGCTCGTCCATTCATCTCTTTGAAATGAGATAAAGTTGGTGGAATATCTTTGGAGTATGGGCTTGCAGTTGGTACAAAGAGACATTAATTGTGCTGACATAGGCTTGACTTTTGAGGCATAACAAATATATTATATTGATGTTATAAAAAAATGAAAATTAAAAAAATGTATTTTGAAGATTAAATAAAATCGTAGATGAAAAATGAAAAGTGACTATAAAATTTTAGATTTCTCTTCTTTAATTAACCTTTTTTTTAAGTTTAATTTATGTATTCAATTGTTCTATTTATTATAAAGTCCTTGTTTATTCATTTGTAATTTTTTTTTTTTCCAAACAATAATATGCATGTGTAGGTAAAATAGGAATCGAGTTAAGACATTTAATTAATATTCTTATAAAATTTTAATTAAAATGAATTGTCACAATTGACAACTTGCTCCCCGATCGTTGCTGGCAAAAAAGCCAAAAGACTTTGACCCGCCTGGGCAAGACCAATTAATGGAGGTTTGGCTACCTTCAAACATATTATATATAACTTACTTCAGGTAGAGAGTATCAAACAAAAGATTTAACATGATGTTCACATCCTTCACTTCTAGAGTGTGGTTCATATGGGCTACCCTTTTGACTGCATGTTTTCTTGTAGCACTGAATTATCAATACAATTAGAAAGGAAGCTCTACTTAACACCAGTTGGTGGAGTTCGGAAATAAATTATTTCAGATCATGTCAGTGGCATGGTATCACTTGCGATTCAACAGGGCACATCATAGAGATTTATGCATAGTTATGGCGTTGAAGGAGAGCTTAGCCAATTTAACTTTTCTTGCTTTCCAAACTTAAAGAGTCTCAGTTTTCATCATCTGATCTCAACGGAAGCATTCCATCACAAAATGGTGCACTTTCAAAGCTCAAATTCCTCAATCTGTCAAATAATCATCTTACAGGTACATTATTGATTTTATTTTAGTTTTATCATTTCAAATAAAGTATAATCAAATGACAATTTTTTTTTTTTTTTTTTTTGTTAAATAAAATTAAAGGTGTTATCCCTTTAGAAATTGGAAGCTTGAGCAATCTCATGGAACTGGATTTGTCATCAAACAATCTCAATGGATTAGTCCCCTCATCGGTTGGTTGTTTGACCAAATTGACCACGTTGTCTCTATCTAGTAACAATTTTACTGGAGCAATCCCTTCATCTATGGGTGATTTGATCAAATTAATCACTTTAGATCTGTCTAGTAACGCTTTTACTGGAGCAATCCCTTCATCTATTGGTAATTTGATCAAATTAATCATTTTAGATCTATCTAATAACACTTTTACTGGAGCAATCCCTTCATCTATTGGTAATTTAACCAATTTAAAATATTTATCCCTTGATTCCAACCAACTCAGTGGTCCCCTACCTCAAGAAATTGGGAATTTAAAGAACCTTACGAAATTAATTTTGAGGGGGAATAACTTGATTGGACCTATTCCCTTAACACTTGGTTATTTAGCATATTTGACCGATCTTGTTCTCAATTCTAACAAACTCAACGGCTCAATTCCTGATGAGCTCACCCAATTAACCCAACTTCTATTTGTAGATCTCTCTCATAACAAACTTAGTGGTCACATTCCAATTGGCATAAAGATTTGCGTGGGGTTGATAAGCTTAAATTTGAGCTATAACAATTTGAGTGGAAGAATTCCACTAAAGATTGGAGGAAGCAATTTATCTCAATTAGACCTTTCCAATAATAACCTTTCTGGCATAATCCCTAATTCTCTCTTTCCATGGACGTTTTATTATTGGGAGTCTTCTAGAATTTACGTGGACTTATCGTACAACAATTTGGAAGGTCCAATCCCACTTGATCTGAAAAATTTGAACCTGCAACTTATAGGCAACAAAGGTTTATGTGATGCAGCTTACGGTTTTACTCCTTGCAATACTTCTTCATCGGAAAAGAAGCCTAAAATTACTTCCATTCGTTTGATAATGATTATTCTACCAATCACCACTATTCTTATCATCCTGATTTTTGGTTTTTTTTTCCTCAAAAGAAAGGATAAAAAAGCTCTATTGTCCACATCCACAAGAGCATCCAAAATTAGAGATGTATTCTCAATATGGAACTTTGATGGTAGAATTGCATTTGAAGACTTAATTGAAGCGACAGAGGGTTTTGATATCAAATATTGCATCGGAACTGGAGGTTATGGTAGTGTTTACAAAGCGCAACTACCCCAAGGTAAAGTAGTTGCTTTGAAGAAGCTTCATAGTTTAAAAATTGAGGAGTCAGCTTCCCTAAACAGCTTCCAAAATGAGGTTCATGTACTGTCCGAATTACGACATCGAAACATTATCAAGCTTTATGGATATTGTTTGCACAAAAAATGCATGTTTTTGATTTATGAGTATATGGAGAGGGGAAGCTTGTTTTGTGTTCTACGGAATGATGATGAAGCTCTTGAGTTGGATTGGACTAAGAGAGTAAACATTGTAAAAGCTGTGGCACATGCTTTGTCTTACTTGCATCATGATTGCACATCATCAATTGTTCACCGTGACATATCAAGCAACAACATTCTACTAAACTCAGAATTGCAAGCGTTTGTTGGTGACTTTGGCGTGGCTAGAATTCTTCATCTTGACTCATCAAATAGAACCATGTTAGCTGGCACTTATGGATATATAGCTCCAGGTAAAGTATCTAGTTACTCTCTCCTTTTAATCTTTTTTCTTATAGATTTATGGCTCCTTTTCATCCTGAAAGTTGAATTACTTCATAACTAAATTGAACTAAAGAAGAATGAAATAATAAATAATATTGGATTACTTTTGGAGAAACTAATTATTAATAATTTTTCATCCTAAATTAAATAATCTCTATACTTCATTTTAAGGTTTCTATTTCCCTTGTAGAGTTGGCTTATACTATGGTTGTGACGGAGAAATGCGACGTTTATAGTTTTGGAGTAGTGGCACTTGAAGTATTAATGGGAAGGCATCCAGAAGAAATTCTCTCTTCATCATCATCATCATCATCATCATCATCTACCCAAAATTTAATGCTAATTGATGTGTTAGACTCACGCCTCTCACCTCTAGTTAATCGAATAGTTAAGCAGGAAATTATGCTTGTTTCAACCATAGCATTCGCCTGCTTGCGTTCCAAGCCGAAGTCCCGACCTGCAATGAAGCATGTGTCTCAAGAATTTCTTAAGCAGAAAACATTATTTGCAAAATCTTTTGGAGAAATTTCCATCTCAGAATTGAGAAACCAGGAAATGTATTTATTTGGTGAACATGATGCTTAAGCATGGATGTAGTTCATTGGTGTTTTTGTGTTCTACAACATTTTTCTGATATTTAGCCTACATTTCCTCGTTTCTTTTGTTTTGTTTCTTTTTTCTTTTGTTAAGCATGAATTTCCTTTTTACTCTGTTTTCCATTACATGGGTTCAACACCAATTAAGTATAGAAAATCATCAAGTTTCTGTACCACCAGGTACTGAATCAAGCATTGTAATCAAGGCCAATAATATTGTTGTACTTCATCGTTTCTGCTCCGAAAATTATTTAGTGCAATATATACTCTGTCCTCTTCTTTTCCTACAACTTTTATAAAAGGGTTTTTTCATAAAGATTTAACTTCCTCTCTGAAATGAAAGTCTACAATAAGACAAGCACATTAATAGTAGTCCAATCAGCACGGATGACTTTTACACTCAACAAAAACATTGCCTAGACTTGAACCAGTCTTATTTCGCTATTATTGTTTGAAGCCAATGTATTTTTCTTGGTCTATTTCAATCATGAATGCATGTCTAATCAGAGGAAGGGCATCAGAAGACTTTCACTCAGAGTTCATGTATCAAACTCATATCTCTAATTAATCTAACTACTCCATGAATCTTAAACGTTTAGTTGGTCGTAGACGATTTAATCAAGATTCCATCCAAGCAAAAATTCTCAAAGGCCTAGACTACAGTGGTCTCCCTATCAATCTTTATCTACAAGTTATCTGCCAGACCCCATCGATCAAACATTATAGTGAATGAAAGAGGACTTGGTCTATACCGTGAAGCTTACTTACCCTGGAGGATGGTTTAGTCTGGTCTATTGTTCTTGTGGAAACGTGTTCAGTCTTACCCAAAAATTAAACCCAAGACTTCAGTTTTCTCCCTTTCTCTATGAATGTATTCCAAGTGTTGACTTATATCTCTTTCTCTGTCTCAACTAACTTAGTTGTGGCTGAATTATTTCTTGGATGTGGGAAATATTAGATTTCTCATGCTTTCAGATCTTTAATGAGGTGGTGGTTGTGTTAATATCCCTTTCTCTGTCTCAATTAACTTTTTTTTTATTTTTTTGGTTATTAATGACCTTCTTATTAAAAACCTGTATTACTCATTTGTTCTCTATACCTTAGTGTTGTTATTCATTATTATAAATGCTATTTTATTTATTTATAAGTAATTCCTTCTAACTAAATGTCTTGGTAAAAAACAATTTTTGAGTAAACGAATTTAGTAAATATATTTATGAATTATAAGAGATTTAATTTATAACTTCCTAATTTTTTGAAATTCTATTGAGCTGGCAGTATTGAAAACTTCCTCCAGGTTCCATCCAAGCAAAAAAGGACCAATAGACCTTGACTCCAATTTCTACACTTCCTCGAAATATCATGTGCATGTATGGACCATCGAGATTTTAGTGCTTAGGGAGTCCTCACGGGACCAGTGAAGATGCCACAGCTTCTCAAAAGGCATAAGCGGCATTAGTTAAACCAAAATTGAGAGGGAGAGAGAGATTAATTAACACAACAAAAAACAAAAGAATTATCCTTGGTAATTTTTTTTTCATGTTTAAAACTATCCCATTTCTGACCAGAGACCTTTTCGATAACAAAATGAGGTAAACAAAGGATAATATAACTCTTTGTTCTTGGTGCTTAACATTCAAATTTGATCTAAAATAACAGCTATGGTCGATTGACAATAGGATTAGGTGACCTGTTAGGATTGTTACCAGGATCAACATTAGGCTTAGGTGACCGGTTAGGATTGTTACTAGGCTTGGGTGACCGGTTAGGATTGTTGCGATGATATGGTGAGACATGTGGACCATTTGGTATGGAGACGCTTCTTGTTGGTTGTCCATTCCTTGGTATGTTCCCCACTTGCACTCCAGTGACCCTGTTAGCATTCGAGTTAGACCCTGCATGCTCTGTTTGCATTGCTTGGAAGTATGAAGAAGAAGAGGCCATGTCCGTCAGGGTAGGCAGTGGCTTAAGGGCTTCAACAACTTCACTCATAAGAGGTCTTGTTTTAGGGTCACGGCTGAGGCAGCGGGTAGCCAACTGAATTGCTTTCTGAGCACCTCTGATCGAGAAGCATCCTTCAAGGCGAGGATCCATTAGCCGGTAGAACCTTCTCCTCTCTACAAGATGTGGTCTAGCCCATTCAACCAGGTTATGCTCTCCATTGGGTCGGTTTTTGTCCATTGATCTTCGGCCAGTCAACATTTCAAGTAAAACCAACCAAAGCTATAGACATCGCTCCTGGATGTAAGATCCTTGTCGCAAATTGAATTCTGCTAGCATGAACTGATTTCCACATTCAGATAACTAAACAATATTGAAGTTCCCGTGTAAATGCGTCAGTATCTACCAAGGGAAGTAAATCCATTTAGAGATTATTGAACAAGTTTTCTCACAATAAACCCTAGCTGGAGAACAAGTTATTTGAAAAAAGAAAACAACAATGACAACCCAAATTTAATAACAAGAAGCCTTATGCATAACCATATATCGATTCTAGAACTCAGGTTCCTATTTCAATTGAATTGCTTCAGCAAAACTTATTTAATCATGATTTATTCTATTATAATACATGTACTGATCCATTAATTTGTTCTAGCCTAAAAAGAAGAAATTGTAGTAACCGATAATAGATTCTCTACATATGGAAATCTATCCCCAATTGTGATCATCAATTTTCATATGAAAATACCTTCGGCTCATACCCCACTCTTCTCATCCAGCACCTAATTCAAAGTGCTTCAAGGGTACATACTTTTTTTTTCAATTACCACATCAACTACTTCTGTCTTCTTCTAAGGTATGTACCCGTGGATCAGCAGTGACAAGTAAGGTGAGTGGGGTATGGTGCTGATGGGTATGGTCTCTAAAACTAACAGGTGTAGGAGACAGTAAAGGATTCTATTAAATATAAGAAGTTAAACCAGCTGGCCATTGTTTAATCCATATCCAGATAAAACTGAACAAAAGAAAAGAGAGTTGTTTAATCATTCAACCTGTCATCACATACTCGGGGGCTGCATAACCATAAGTTCCCATTACTCGGTAGATACATGAGTCTTATCTCCCTCTGGACCATCTTTGGCAAGTCCAAAATCAGAAAGCTTGGCATTGTAGTCCTGGACGAGTGTTTAGCAAACATTAGAAGTGGCATAAATAGGAAAAGATAGATTATGTTGGTTTACACACCCCATCTAACAGGATATTAGAGGTCTTAAAGTCTCGATATATCACTGGCTTTTCAGCTTCTTCATGAAGAAAGGCGAGGCCCTTTGCAGCACCAAGTGCAATTTTCATTCTGATGGACCAAGGAAGAGGCAGAGACCCTGTTCATAAACTAAAGTTATTTCCAAAGAAATGAGAAGAAAAGATATGCATGCAGATCATCACTTGGCCAAAAGGATGCTGCTATCTCTAGGGGCTAGTTGGATGCACAACTCTTTTGTGCATTTAGTTGGGAAATATCTATATTTATGATACAGAGAGTATGTAGGGGATGCTACAGGCTGTAAATTCCATAAACGGTTGAGAAAACATTTATATGATGCAATAAAAGAAATGTAGCCAAAATTGGGGAAATAGTAAATGCAGTTACATACTTCTAAACAGGTGGTTCTCCAAGCTTCCTCGAGGCATAAACTCATACACAAGTAGCCTCTGATCATCCTCAATACAACAACCAATTTACTTAACCAGATTAGGATGGAGGAGGTTACCGAGAAAGTTAACTTCAGCCTGCCATAAGGTAGAGATCAGAAACTTTCTTTCCATCATAGGGAAAGTCAAGATCCCTTAAAAGTAAGCCAAATCTCCCAGCAAGATTTATATTTCTCTATACATATTCACAAACATGCAAACAGGCACGCACAAGCATAAACACACACGCACGCATAGATACACTTATGAAAATAATTAAATGATAAGGATCTCATACAAGCCATTCTTTATGACCCTGAAGTCCATCATGGTTGAGGGTTTTTACAGCAACAGGCAGGCCCATGCCAGGTTTCACCGGAGATGTTCCATTCTCATTGATCCAACCTTTATATACACAACCAAACCCACCCTCACCAAGAAGACTCTCAAGTCTAAAATTCCGGGTTGCTGACTTAAGCTCATTATAGGAGAATTTCCGAAGCTGGGAAGAAATTTTCAGTTCTTCACGTCTGTTGGGAGTGGATGGAGTAGTACTTAAGGTGTTGCTTGTAGTTGTAGTTGAAGACGATACTACTGGAACAACTGGTTGGTCTCGACTGTTATCATTTGTAGATTTACTTTCCGCTGATTCACACACAAAAGAAAAAGAACAAAGAATAATATCAGTGCTCTTAGATACAACAGTAATCAGTTAAGATATGCAGTACTAAATCATACACTGGATGAAGGATTGGGATACTGTTCAATACAATACATTCCAACAAATACAAGTCCATACATGTGCATATTATGAATGACAATACATGGATTTTAACTTTGTACTTAAATGATAACAAGGTGGTGCACGACATACAGGAATAGAAATTATAATGCCAAAGTGTGATATCTGTCCTGCTGAAAGCCCTGCATCTGCATCTAGAAGACAAACAGAAAATAAATTTATCATGCAATAGTAAGGTTATTTCTCCATGAAGATAATTACCATTTTTTTCCTCCAATCACACAAGTATCTCTATCTAAATGAAGTGCCAGTATCAGAAAAGCATAAGACCAAGAATTAGTTTCTTCTATAATTGAGGCAGGAAATAGCAGGACCTTGTAGGTTTTTTGGCTGGAGAATACTATGAAAAGAAAGAGACCAAACAGACGTGAGAGAGATGTAGGGACGGAAAATTTAAACTGAAGTTTTTGCTCTGTTTTTCATTCATAAAACAAGGGTGATTTACTGATTTATACAAAATATCATTTACTGTTCCACCTGATATTACAAGGATATCAAAATACATTCTTAACCATTCATCTAAAATTAATGATTACAATTCAAAAATCTAACTGCTCTGTCATTCAAATTCAGCCCTGCAACCTTCAAACCTGGCCCCAAAAACCTGCAAACCTGCTGCCTATCTTCATGTTTTCAGTAAAACATCACTGCCATCAACACTCATGAATACAAATTCTTTTTAAGAATTCAATTCGACAGGAAAAATGATGCTACGTAAGGAGGCCATTGTAACTCTTATTGTTTATGGAATCCTCGAGAAGATTTGGTCGTTACCATTACGTGGCCCTTTGAAAAGTCCATG